GCCATGCCTCCAAAATTGTGAGCAATTTGTCTATTATAAGTAGTACCAAACAACTAGCTTCCTTATACATCTCATCCTGACAAAAGTGCTGAAGACAATCAAACATATGATAACACAGAGCCTCACTTCTTACCAACAACTCATCTATTGGTGGTGCTGTTTTAAGGACTAATTTTACCACCTTATGCCATGGATTAACAGTAATCTCTTTACTAATAGTATTAGTGCAGGCTTAACTGTACTCACAGAGGCAGAGTTTGAAGTGCCTTTGGGCCTAATCAGTTTTGAGAATAAATTTAGAGAACTCATCTTTACTATTTTATTTCTCTAGAATCACTTCTGGTACCAAATGTATTAAGCTGGATTCTCTAGAGAAGCAAAACTAGTGATGTTTATATATGTATAGAAAGGTATTTATACCAATAAATGGCTCACACAATTGTAGCGGCAGGTAAGTCCAGTCTGGTTCAAGTCTATGGGTCAGATGGTTAGCTGGAGGCTTCTGCAGACTTATGCAGCTGCAAGGGTGGATGAAGCAGGATGCAGAAAGACCACAAGCTGGTGAATGCAAACTCGAATGACTCCAAGGTCAGTGGTCTGGGGAGGGCTCCTGGGATCAACAGACAATATGGCAGGAGGTCTATGAACCAGATGCAGGATCCAGATCCAGCAGAAGTGAGCTTTCCCATGGAGTCTGCTTAAAAAGAAGCAAGCCACACCCCAAGAAGTCTTTCTTCCAATTGCATCAAGGCTGTGACCTAATCCACCACAGCTGCAGGCTTCTCACATTAGGTGAGATCACATAATGGAGTTGATTCTATTGTGTTAGATCACATCATGTAGTATTACTGCTAAAGTATTGAGAATTCTGGCAGAGCCAAGTTGACACAAAACCTAATTATCATAGACACCCAACTCAGACTTAGTCAACATCTTTGTTAATGGGGCTAGAGTAAATAATTTCCAGGTGACTCAGAGGTGTGAGCCACTGTCAACATCCCTCCTTGCATAGGCTGAGAGTGGGACTCAGACTGTCTGCAGTTGGGCTTGACTTGTAGTGAGAGTATGGGTCTGCATTGAGATATGGAGCCAAGAGGGGCAGCTGCAGGGCAGTGCTAGCTTAGTCCAGGAATCAAAGGGCAATGTGTGGTTGGTAGGACCATGCCTTTGGCACATCCATTGTGCCCGTTTCTCCCTTAGCACTGTGAATGTGTAGCACCCTTTGATCTTCTGTGTATCAGGTTGGGGTGTCGGTGTCCAATTTATTACCTCTGTTTCCTTTATCTGAGGCCAAGAGAGCTTGGATCCCTCCTCATGGGCAAAAACTCTTATCTGAGAACAAATTATAGATGCTGAATGATGCATAAGGTCATACATATCATATTATGAATCTATAATGTATCTGCCATTTACTGCTGTACTTCCAGAACCCAGAGCAATGCTTGGTAGAGCAATTGCTCAGTAAATGTGTTTGGAATTGATACAAAAAGGTCAAGTGTAGATATAATTCAATAAGTGCAACTAAGGTGTAAAGTGTCATAAAAATAGGAGGAAAACATAATTTCCAGCTTGGGAAAGGAGGAATGTGAAAGTCTTCATAGCAGAGGTTGCATTTGAGCCAACTTTGAAAACTAGGTAAGGCAGTGATAGACAGAGATAGAGTGGATCTTCCAGGCAGGAGAAACAATGTGAGCAAAGTGGAGAAATGAGGTCTAAAGCTCATTTAGTTGACAGTCAGTAGTGACATGTGAGTGCGACACGAGTACATAACAGACTATAGTGGAACATCAGACTGGTAAGATCGGGTCAAAATCAAAGAGCCTTGAATGTCATGCTAAGAAGTGTACACTGTTCAATAGGCACTGTGGAACCATCTAATGTTTTTGAGCAGGACTGCAATATGTTCACTTTAGAAAAATTAGATGTGCACTTTAGGAAATTCAAACGTGGAAGCAGTTCTTGGGGGAAATATGGGGGGCCCGTTTAAGTGCCTCCTAAGTGCCCAAGACTGTGCTAGATAGATTGAGGTCAGAATAATTTGACCAGGATATGAGTTATTAGGCTATTTTAGTAGTCCAGGCAAGAGCTGCTGAAGGTATGAAATAGCTTTGTAAGAGTGGGGATGAAAAGGAGGGGAAAGGATTTGACAAAGAATACGAAATAAACAAACCCACTGCCATCAAGTTGATTCCAAGCCATAGTGAAACTATGTAGGGTTTCTGAGGCTATAAATCTTTATGGGAGCAGACAGACTCCTCTTTCTTCCTCAGAGCAGCTGTTGGGTTTGAACCACTAACCATAGGGTTAGTAGTCCAATGCTTATCTTACAGCACTACCAGGACTCCTTTACAGAGGTAGAACAGACAGAATTTGGTAACCATTTTAGGTAGGGGGGAAAGAAATAGAAGACTGAGTGACTAATGGTAAAAATAATAATCAACATTTGAGTGGCTTCCTTATTCCATATCTTGTACAAAGTACTTTACAAATATAATTTAATTAGAACAATAACTCTTTTGATAGATAAGGGACTCTGGCTCAAATAAGTCAGGGAACTTGGCCAAGGCCATACAAATAGGACCTAGTGGGGTTAAACGTTGAACTCAAACAGTTTGGTTTTAGAGTCCATGCCCTTAACCTCTATGCTATACTGACTTTGGAGAAATTGGGGAAGCCGTGTTTTCTTGGCAAAGTAATTCAGCAGGACAATCAGGACACCAGATTCCCATCTAACTTTTTCTCTGTCCTTTTCCGTATTCATTTATGTGGGTAATGGTGGAAGGTTCTTCCTGCTACCCCACCAGCAGTTCTTCCTAAGTGCCCTTCACTCCTGTGGTGGGAAGATGGAGCTAGTGAAAGGGTGTAGGATAGGTGAGACTGATATATTAGAACCACGAGATGCAAAAGGGGAAAAACTGGTAATCCTCAAGGCCACATGGAGTCGGCAGACATGTTTACTCCACAGTCCACAGATTTTGTTTTTAACTTGAGCCAATATTTAGGAGTTAAGTAAACTTCACATAAAAATCCGTAGTCCTGTGACTTTCCTTGAAGAAGGAGTAGATCTGTCAACACTGAACCCACATCCCCACAGGACAACACTGGGATTGGGCTTCGCCCTTTAAAAGGGGTACGTGCTGTGCAGTTCTCACTAAAATATATTTGAGTCTGCACTTTCCCCCATCTTGGCTTACTTTGCTCATTTAGTTACCTTCCTAATCCTTGCAGATGGTTAAGTATGCAATCCTTTGTTTAGAATGGTCTACTACTGAGGTTACTATTTCCTGCCCAACCCCCTTCTTCTGAGATTGAAGTTAACAAGGGGAATGGCACATGGCATAGAGTAAGCAGCCTTTGGTCACACCCACTCCCCAAGTCATAAACTATTCCCTAGGGCAACAAGCTCAACTCCACAGAACAAAGCCATGAAGGGAAGGTTATCATCAAGTCTTACCATTTATTTCTTTATGGGATTAAAGAAGAGCAGAGAGGCCTCTGCTCCACAATGCAACAGAACAGAAAGCAATACACATACAGACTCTCACTGAAACACAGAGGCAGAGGATGGGCAGAGACAACTGAATCATAGCTGGGTGAGGGAGAGAGGGATGGGGACTACTTGGAAACCAGCTTGGAGACTCAGTCATAGAAACTAGTGCAAGAAATTCCTACTCATGAAGCACAGTGTAGAAAATGGCATAAGAAAGCTGCCCAGCTCTGCTGCCTGTGACTGAGGGGAAGGGCAGCTGGACAAATGGTGATCTGGGTGGTGGGCTAGATAGGGACAGTCATATGACTTAGAGGTGGAGTTTGTGCCCCTCTCCCCTGCCACTGGGCAAGGCCCTGGGCTGGTCTGAGCCAGGGGTCTCCTGGGCACTTGGTGAGGGGTAAGAAAAGATGGGAGTTCAAGGGTCCATTCCCTGGGGCTATATAGGTGTCCCTTTACTTCCCAATCCCTTTGTGGCCTGCCCCCCTCCTCCCACTGCCCCGCTCCCCGAGGGTAAATGACTTAGAAGGCAGTACTTAGGATCTCTCTGGACCCTAAACTCCTTCACTTATACAAAAGTAAGTAAGAAAGTATTGCTACTACAGTTCCAGTTCATACATGCATGGGTTCATTCTAAACAAAGTGTGTTTGAACATATCTCTGTGATCAGTGGATGGATGCAGAAAAATTTTCCTGGTAATACATTTGTCTTAGTTTCATTAGGGAATCTTCAAAGAAAGGTTCAATGTAAAACAATGGCTTTCAAGGGGATCTATAGGTCCAGTTAAACTTAAGGCAGTATGGTCAACTCAGAAAATTATGATGATTGGGGGAGGGGGTACTCTAAAAGTGTAATCTTGATAGATGTTCTCAAAGGACACGGGATGATCCTATGGGCTTATTATGAAGAAACGTTAAGAAAATAAGAAAACACGTTGGTAAGAAAACTCCAGGAAAGTTGTAATGAAGTGCTCTTTTTCTGTCACAATGTATCTGCTCCTTCTTCAAGGATAGCAAGAGCTGTATTACAAGAATTTCACTGAGAAACCTCACTCTATCCACCTTACAGCCCTGATCTTGCCCCTTCAGACTTTTTTGTTCCATATACTCAAAGAACGGTGAATAGGAACATGATTTAAGACCTCAAAGATGCCAGTACCACCATAATGAGGTGTTATAAATAAAGCACACAATTCTTTGTGGAAGGATTAGCGAGATGAAAATAGTGCCTTGCTAAATGGCAACAAAAAATAACATCACATTTTGATATTTTTCTTTAATAATGATTTCTATGATTTTTAGCAATACTTTTTGACTCACTCTTGTATAAAAAACATCTCCATAAAGGAACAAGTACTTCTTCCCCTCCCCAGCTTAAAAAAAATAAAGTACTCCAGGAATAGGGTATGTGGCTAGGCCCCAAGTGCTGAGGGCTAAAAATCGGGGCTATCGGGGCAGGTCATGGGGGTAAGGGAGTGGGGCACACTCTGAGAAATGAGAAAACGGGGGGGGGGGGGAAAGGATTCCTCACGCTCCTTTGGGACCCAGCTTAAGACCTTGAATGTTGGTTTTTTTTTCCCTTGGGCGGTCTTCCAGCTATCCCTTGGCCAACTGAATCCAGCTCTTCCCTTCTTATGCCCTCTTTGGCTTTACGCTAATGCAATTCCAGGGCCACATTCTTCCCTTAATCCACTGGCATTACATCCTAGAAAGACACAAGCCCTTCTTGTACAAAAAGACCGTAGGCCTATCCCAGGAACACAGTTCCAACGCTCTTTCTTGTTTGTTTCTAACTTACTGCTATAGAGTTGATTCCAACTCACAGTGACTTTTTTGCTCCTACTGGCTTTTAAATATCTCAGGTAATGTGGCCTCCTCCTCCCAGTACACCAGGGCAAGACTAAAGGCCCCAAAGTTTCCTTGATGCCTCATCTCTTGTACAGTCCTCCAGCCTAAAAAAATGCAAGTCTCTCAAGGGGCACCAATTTATTCTTGGGTCCTCTTACCAGTGTCTGGACTTTTTCTAGCAATTGGGATGGTAACCCATAGGCTAGGAATGGGAGGGAGGAATACTCTTTGGTAGGCTGGGGACAGGGGCAGAGGAGGCTCATTTCTGGAGAGCTCTGGGATAATGCTACCAGATTCTCCTTCATGGAGGCCTGGGCTAGAACAAGATAGGGGAGTGTGGAGACCCAGGCCAGGCCTGATCCACTTGGGCTTAAGTCCCCCTTCCCTATGGAGATCAGAAATGGAAACTTCTTTGGCCTCAAGGCCAAGATCTCCTGGGAAGGAGAGGCCCTTGGGTATATGTGCACCTTCTGTAAGATATGGCCCTTCAGATAGCGGCAGTCTGACCATGTAGCCTCAGCATTCTATATAAAGGCCCAACAATTCAGTTTCTATACTCTTTCCCCAGTGGGCTCCTATGCATCTTTCTGTGATGGGGAGCTCTCCTTGAGCCTGCTTGATTCAACACTAAACACCACTTAATCCAAAACAGGAGGCAAAAGCCCATTTGGCTATATAGCCCCTCTTTCCAAGACCTCTGTCCACTTCTCTCTGTTTCTCTCCCCATTCCTGTTCTCCATGTTCTTTTACCATTTATTCACACGCTATTCCTATCCTTAATTAATAGGAAGATGGGGCACAGTTTAAGTAAGACCCCAACCTAGCTCCAATTGGGCACACCTCATTGCCTATCCACTCAGGGCAAGATGTGCTGAAGTAGGAGCATGTGCATTGCACTGTCTGCCGGTGCCTGTAGGGATATGGGCAGGAGGGAATTAAGGATCTTGGCAACAAAAGGAATGTGGAGGAGGGAAAGTGTGTCTCCCCTCTGTGCCCCCTGACATTCTCTTCAGGGCCAAGGCTGAGTGAGCAGCCTCCTTTCCCAGGATCAGGGCTCTCAGCAGGGGCGGGCGTTTCCAGGCCCTACTCACTCCCTTTTTTTGCTAAGCCCCATTAATGGGGCCCTGGGCAGAGGCGCCTGCTGCTCTTGCATTTTCCTCCCAGATGGGTTTTGCAACTCCCTGGGCCCCTCTGTTCATTCTGTTGGAGCTGCTTTGGGGGATAGGTTGGGGGATGTGTAGCCCCCCCATTTCCCCCAGCCCCCTCACTTGTTCTTACGCCTCCCAAGGGAGGAGCCCCCTCCCTCCCGTCTGGGGAGGGGAGGGTTAGAGATGATTTCAGTGTGTGGTGGTCTGTTCTCCCGCCTCGCTGTCACTCTTCCTGTGTCAGGCCCTCTTCTAGGGCAGGTAGTGCTTCCAGCCCGAGTCCCCCACCACCCTGGTTGCTGGAGAAGGACACCATGGTGTGGAGGAGCATGAGGACAAGGACACAGAGCCGGATCCTGCTGGGGCTCAGGTGGGAGCCTCCAGAGACTGGCAGCAGGGAGGGCTTGTAGCTGATGCGACCTGGGGGATCGTGGCGGGGATGGTAATGGTGGTACTGTTGATGATAGTGGTGGAAATAAGAGTGGTGGAATTGCTGGTGGTGGGTTTTGGGGGCCTCTGACTCCTTGAACTTCTTCTTCTCCGACTCACATGAGACCCACTGCACGTCACAGCACTTGGTTTCCGGCTGCTTTGGCGAAGTATCCAGCAACCCTGCCAATGGATAAGGGAGGTGTGGTAGGGTGCTCAGGGGGTGATGGTTATTCCTTACCTGGAAAGGAGCTTTTCAAAGCTGTGACTGTTCAGGTAACCCTGTCTAAAGTTCCTCCCCCAAACCCCCTCCCTCCTTGAATACCTTTCTTTTCTGGAAAGGTTACCCTGGGACCCTAGCTAACCCTCCATGATAACTATAAGGTTTGGCATGTTCTAGGTAGAGATAGCCACTTTGGCCTCTCCTGTATTCCACTTAGCCCTCCTTGCCCACTCTTCCAAATATTTAACCTTCTTCTAACTTGATTCCCCTATTGTCCACCCTGCTCCCACTCCCTTGATTGGTCCCTGCCTTGAATCCCCAGCCTCCTCCCTCTTCCCCAGTGCCCTGCCTTTACCTGTACAGATAAAGCCAGGGAGCCCTCCGTACACCATTTCCTCATTGTCAGGGAGTATAAAGGGGCACCGGGTCTGTACCTCCAGGCAGTATTGCTTGCAGGGCACCCAGCGCTGGCATTCCTGCTGGGTCACGCTGAAGTATTCTGAGCACAGCCAGGCCTTGTAGACAGCCTGTAGGGGGCGGAGGGGAAAAGATCATCAGACCAGGTACCAGTTCGTTCCCACCTCAGGGAGAGGGATGAGAAAGGTATGTACTTGCAACTTCTCAGTAGGCCTCACCAGCCCAAGCCCAGGATCCTGTGGGTGGATATCAGAAAAGATTTAAGTCGAGGTAAAGATCTTTCACTGTACTGAAAGAGCTCCCACCTCATATATGGCCTCTGGAGCCTAAATCAATAGTCACTCAAGATTTAGAATCAGTTCCTTGGCAAAATCACAAACTTTGAGATATTTCTGAGCTGAAAGGGGTCTTACCAATCACCCAATTCAACCCTACAATTTTACAAATGGCCCAAAGCGATGTCTGGATTCGTGTATGGATGTCTATAATGAGTTGGCTTTTAGTTCCATTTAGTTCAATAAACATTTATTTGGCTGATGATGCTAATTTTCCAAATTCAGTAAAGGGATAGGGAGAATAATCCTTGCTTTACCTGATTAGAATATTATGTGGATCAGATAATAAGACACATTTGAAACAGTTTTATAAACTCTAAAAAGCAATTAAAATGTGAGAGGTTTTTTTTTAACCAAAAATAGTAATCTGCTTTATCAGGCACCACATGTGCCTTCAAGCTCTACTTAATTCATACTCTATTCTGTTGGTTTCAGCCCTGGCAAGGAGCAGACATCACCAAACGAAACTCATTGCCATAGAGTTGATGCTGACTCATAGTGACCCCATAGGGCAGGGTAGAACTGCCACTTGAGCTTCCAAGACTGTAACTCTTAATGGTAGTAGAAATTCTTGTCTTTCTCTCTCGGAGATGCTAGTGGTTTCAAACCACTGACTTGAAGGATCATAGCCCAGCGTGTAATAGCTATGCCACCAGGGTATTTGGAACCTTCCCTTTACCTTTTCACAGGTATGCTTCCTGTCTTTCATATATCCCTTAACTATCAGGCACTGACACTTGGCTAAGTAAAGTTCCCTGCCCCATATTCTTTGGCTATTATCAGGCTCAAGGTTTTTAAACAGCGGCACTATTAACATCTTGAACTAAATAAATCTTTGTTGTGGGGGCTATCCTGTGCATTGTGGAATACTAAGCAACATCCCTGGCCTCCATCTACAAGATTTCAATAGTATCTCTACCCCAACAGATGTCTCTAGACATTGCCAAATGTCCCCTAAGTAGCAACATCTTTGAAAACCACTGATCTAGTCCCTTGTTACTCAAAGTTGGTTCTAAACCAAAAGCATCACTTAAGATCTTTTTAGAAATGCAAAACTTCAGGCCTTAATAGACCTTGTAATGTCAGTATCTGCATTTTAACAGGATGTCCGGGTGTCCTCATGCATGGGATTAGAGCCCTACTCATATCCATTCTTGGTATCTTCAGGAGTATTTTATAAGTCTGCAGTGGCTCCGCACAGCAATGGTTCTCAGAATCCTCTGGGGTGTTTGTTAAATATGCAGATGTCTCCCCCCAATTCAGCTTCAAAATGATTGAATGGGCCCAGAAATCAGCATTTTTAACTAAGGTCCAGGTCATTTGGTACAGGAGATATTCTGAAGAATATGAACTATGTCGCCATTTCTTAAGCTATATTTAAACATCTACCCTAAAATTCAAATAATGTGGATTTGGGCAATGAAAACCTTTCCCAAGGTGGGACAGGTGATGATGGGTAGTAGCATGGGGGTAGGATGAAGGTACAACTGTACCTTTTGGTATCTCAAAAGCTTTTCACATATAACATAATCAAAATTTCAAAATTGACTTCTTGACTTTTATCGCAAATATGCTCCCATCCCTAAGTCTTGACCATATTACCGTTATCCACCCAAGTATTCAAGCCAGATACCTAGGCATCAGCCTTCATTCTTCCCTCTGACTGTACCCCAACATCTAATCTATCAGCAAGGCCTATCAAATCTAGCTACAAAATACATCTTGAATCCTCTCCTACTTCTATCTTTACTTTCTACCTCTGTGCAGGGTACCATCATTTCTCACTTGGACAAAAATCTCCAATTTGCCACCTGGAGTCCCCATTCTTGTTCTTTCCAAACTACTATCCATATAGTAGTAAAATCGATCTCAAAGTGCAACCTGGTTAAACTCTTTAATGTATTTAGAGTAAAACTCAAAGTTCTTCCCATACATATAAAGTCCCGGAGTAACATGGACCTTCTCTCTCGGTAATCTCATTTTATACCTCTCCTTTCAAATACTACACACACACACATGTGTTCTTTATTTGCCTTGAACTTGCTCTATATCTTCCCACCTTAGGGTCTTGGCATTATCTGTTCTTTTGGACTGGAATGCCTGTCCTTGAATTGTTGGCATGGATGGGTCCTTCCCATCTTTCAGATCTCAATTCAAATATTACCACCTCAGGGAGGATTTCCCTGACCATCCTAGCTTGAGGACCTACCTCTCCCCTTATTATTGTTCTTTGCCTTAGTAATTTCATCACCACAGATATTAGTTTGTCTAAATTATTGTTTTTCTCTGTTGACCTTACCAAATAGAAGATGTATAAAAGCAGATACGGGTCTGTCTCATTGACTACTGCATGATTAGTATCGAACACCAGAAAACAAATTAATGCCTGTTGATTGAAGAGCAGGACAAATAAATGGGGATATATTCCTACTCTCAAGAAGGTTCCAGTTTTGTGGGGAGACACATATAACTTGAATCTGTGATAGAATATCATCTATAAGAGAGAGGTTAAACCAAAGACCATTGAATGGGAGCAAGTAGAGAAGCTGAAAGAGGATTCACTAAGGGAATAAGAGTTGGACTAAAAATCTAAGTAGTTTAACAAGGGGGCATTACAGGCTGAGATAACAGCTTATATGAGAGTATGGAGGTAAACAAATGCACAGTGTGTTAAAAGAACAGAGAATGATTTTGCACGAATGGAATGGAAAGGGTATCAATCTCCTATTGATGGATGTTTTCATGTTTTCAGTATTATAAATAATGCTTCCTTGAACATCTTTGTACAAAACTCCTGCACACTAGCTGAAATTTTATTTATATACTTGTAAATTCCTAGAATTTAAATTATTGGGTTAAAAAAGTATGTGTAAAGGAATAAGAAATGAGTGAAGAGGAGTAAAAAAAATGATGGTAAGAGGCCAGATAAGAGAGAGCTGGATGGGGTGACAGGAGTTGGTAAGAGAGGATTAAGGGGTAGAGGCAACAGTGAGGGAGTAAGAGTGGCATCAGGGTAAGGGGGTAAGAGAAGTGTAGGAGGTTGGGAATGGAAGAGATGGTGGTTATAAGGGTATAAAATAACACAGGGTTGGGGAGAAAGAGCAAGTAAATAAGAGAGATCGAGGATCCAAGAGAAGTGAAGGGGTAAGCTGCTCCATTGCAGAAAGATGAAGTTGTCTGTTCTGGTAAAGATTTATGGCCCCAGAAACCCTAGGAAGCAGTTCTACTCTGCCCTATAAGGGGCATTATGAGTTGGAATTGACTTGATGGTGGTGACATTTTTAAAGCAATAAGGGATTAGGGTGGGAGTAAATGAAGACAAAGTTAAAAGGGATAGAGGAATAAGAGAGGTCAGGGCATATAAAAGAGGAATAAATTAGAAGATAAGAAGAGGCTGTTCAGAGGAGGGGTTAAGAAAAAGGAAGTACTAAAGATGGGGGTTAGAGTGAACAGGGGTAAGGAAACACAGAATGAGGGCAGGGCCAAAAGATAGGTATAGAAAAGCAGGGCTAAGAAAGTAGAAAAAGAAATGCAGCCCCTGTACTTCAGCACCCAGACCCCTATCTCCAGAATACCAAGATGAGTCTCTACCCACAGCCTTGTCTGAAGTTCAGCAGCCTGGCTCAATCCTCACCCTATGCTGGGTGGAATCATCCTCCTTTCCACTGGCAGGACTCAGAGGCCCCTTTGGGCTTCTCCCTGCATCTATCAGTGTAATATTCTTGTTCCTAGATGAGGAGGCCCCAGTGAAGTTCCCACCTCTCTCCAGGCATCTGCTAAGCAAGGAAGAAAAAAAAATAGAGGGGATAAGGGAGAGGAGATGGTTGGCCTGACAGTGAGAGAGCAGACTTTCTCCTTAATTAGACGACCCCCCTCAGTCCCCACACCCCCAGTCAGAGTCACCATGGTAACAAGTGGGTGAGCAGATTGCCGGGAGAGGACACCAGGCCTGTGGGTGGGGAATCAGGAACAGGCAAGGAGCTAATGCGGGGAATGGAGGAAGAAGAGAATTACATGGAGCTGGGAGGTAATCCAATTGCTTGACCCCATGAAGACTAGCTGAGGCCATTACTGGCCTACCTGCTTCAGAGGTAGTCTGGAATCCAGAGGTGGCCTGGATTCCTTTATTGGGTGAAAGACCTGGCACTCAGTGCAAGCTCGCCTTAGATTCTGCAGCCTTGTTCCCTGGAAGGGCCTCTTGCCCAGTCTCAGCATTAGGACTGAACCAGAAGTCAGTGATTTGTTTGGGGATTTACAGAGAGCCTTGTACTCATCTGAAAAATCTGGGAAGATCCATGATAGCCAGGATTAGGAGAGCTGTGGGGCTTGCTGGAGCTGGGGTGTAGAGAGGAAAAAAGAAATGTCTCAAAACTGGATTATAGTCACAGTTAGGAAACCCTTGGAGAGCTTTTGCTCTACAGTTTCTCAACCCTGGCTGCAGACTAGAATCACTCAGAGAGCTATAAAAAAATCCTTGCCTGATCATATCACACCCCAAATTAACTAAATTATAATCCTTATGGGTGAAGCTTACTCATCTATAATTTTTTAATACCGCAGCTAATTTTAATATGCAACCAGAATGGAGAGACATCTTAGTCCCACTTCATAATTTTATAGATGGAGAAACTGAGGCCTAGAAAGGGGGAAAACTTGTCTTCATATACATGAAATAGTGACAGAGGGAACACTGTTCCCAACTCCAGAACTTTTCTTATTAAACAATCCTATCAGCTACTGTTATGTCTAAACTGAGAGGCAGGATCTAGGATGTGGGTGGGAGACTAGAGTTTATAAGAACCAGGTTTGCTGTAGTGTTTCAGTCTCTCTAGACCCCTGCTTTTCCATTCATGTTGTCTGAGCTTAACCACCCTTGAAGCTGGAGGTGCTTCAGTGGGGCGGGCGCCTCAACCTGGCAGTGTTCTCCTTTCCCTACAGGACCCCCTTTCCCACTTCAGTCCAGCTACTGCTGTGCTTAATCAAGTTCCGGTTGCTACAGCCTCCTTCTTATGGGAACTGGGAGGGTACCAAAAATGGAGTAACTAGAGGGAACACCAGTTAACTCAAAAAGGAAGCTAGGAAGGCTGGCCCATCCCTCTTTACAGCTGGGCTGTTGAGCAACTCCAGAAATGTGAGAGGGCAAAATGAAAGGGATTCCCATCTCCTTCTGGGATATATATCTGCTAGATTAGGGAGAAGTGGGAAGACCTGTAAAGTCTCACCCTCCACTTCCTTAATTTATAGCCCTGGCCATGATGTTCTCATCCCGTTTATAGTCCTGGCCATGATGTTCTCATCCCGTTTATAGTCCTGGCCATGATGTTCTCATCCCTAGCCTCCTCAGGAAAGAAGTGGCTAACTTCTGACCCTCCGGGTACTATATGCCCGCATGATGACTCTCTCTCTCTCTCTCTCTCTCTCTCTCTC